GGTGGGGGGGGGTGGGGGGAAATCAAAGTTTCCTCAACTGAGCTGAACAGGTTTTCGGGACTGACTCATTTCAGGGTAGTAAACTCAGAAACAAAATGTAAGCAATGCTTTCTACACTGGACTTTTATCCTGGACACTAATAACTTTGAACTGACTTCTGGCATGATACCAAAGCCTTAATGAACACTGGCTCCCTATCCATTGGCTAGGAGGGCTAATATGATCACAAGATTCATAAACAAAGAAGAATTGTCCAAAAGCAGGAAATTGGTACCATTCTTTTATGCAGTTTGATGGAAAACCAGCATCCAGTTCCAGTTTCTATACCTCCAATTGCCAGTTTCTGTACCTCCAAAAGAATACTGGCAAAAAAAGAAAGGATTAGAAGATAGCTACAAAAATGACCCTGGATCTCACAGGGAAGGCATTGAGAAGTTCAGCCAACTTAGTTTACTGAAGCAAAGATTAAGAGAGTGGTTTAATCACAGTGCAGAAGCAGGAAAATTTCTGAGAAGGCAGGACTCTTATTTTTGCTAGTGAGAGCAGGCTAAGAGCCAATGGTTGCAAGTTAAAAATAGACAAAATAAAAACTGGGGTAAGTAACCACCAAAACAATTTACTTAAGGATGTGGTGGGTTCTCCTTCATTTGAAATCTCTACAAGAAAAGCCACCAATCCTTTTTAAAAGATTCTGCTGTTTACTACAGACTCAAAAAGTTCAGCTCATACTTCTCCTGTGTGTTTAAGTAATTTCCCACAGCACAAGCATAGATTGAGGCATCCAAAGAAATTTTGGTCAAAACGGAAGCGCAACCACATTCCTTTACCTCAAGGGTCAGGCGGGCCTTAGACAGTAAGTAGCCTACGTCCTAAGTCCACCTCAGTTGCCAACAGGGGCTGCCTAACCACTGCTTCAGGTGTCTGCTTTTTATTCCTTTAAGCCAAATACTGAAAGGAGTGTGTCTGAGCTCTGGAAAGACAAGTGCTGCCCTGCTTCACCTTTCTACATTGGCAAACTTGGGACATCTCCTGCTAAAATTCTGCCTCTGGTGGGCTCTGCTGTTGGGCACCTTATATCCTCCTGCTTTGGGAAGAGAACCCAAAGGGGTAACATGAAAGCACCCAGACCCAAAGCCTGCCCCAGGCTGCTGGAGAGAGACAACGCTGACTACCTTCATGGAGGTGAAGTTCCGTGGTCGGTCAAACTGGAATTCCATTTCAACAGAGCCCGTGCTGAAGCTCTCGTTCTTCCAGCCAACATAGTCATAGCCTGGCCACACACGGTACTGGTGGCTCTGCGTGAAATCATCCAGTCCTAGCACACCGTCCGTCAGCTGGCCCAGACCGCCATACAAGTGCCTAGCAAGAAAGAACCAACAGTTAGGCAGAATACCAGCCAGGAGAGCTCAAATGTGAAAGCACATGGGTCCTTCAACTGGTACCAGGAAAACATTAGTTTATTTACTCTTAACCCATCCTGGACAAGAACTCATTCCCTGTTCTTACGCAACATCACCTTTATTTTGTACAGGCTGGGCTTTTAAAACCTTTCCCTGCTTGGGAAAACACAGAAGTTTTTGCATTGATACCAAACACTGACAGCAAAGCCAAGCTACAAGCAGAGTCTCTTGAGAACGAAAACTGAGACTACAGAAAATGACACTGTATGCTCTCCAAACAGAGAGCTTTAATTGCAGCATTTCACCATGGAGCTGCATGGGAGGAACACTGCTCCATCCTGCCCTGGGGAACCAGTGGGGGAAGTTTTGCAGGCAGGCACAGAGAAGCAGGAAAGAGAGCAGTAACACCACGGGCAGTTGACCCAGCCACAGCCAGTTCTAACTGGGATTATTTCTGGCATTGCTCGTTGTGCAAGAGAGCGTTATCAGCTCTGTTTCCAAGGCTGATCAGACTCTTCACCCAGGACCCTACCTCATTCCGCTTCCTATCCGAGAGCGCAGAGCCCACTATACAGTTTTCCAGCACTGTCCCAGAGTAGAAGATCCAGGTGTGGTACACTCCTGACCCACCTGCCTTCTGGGAGCCGTCCCTGCCATGTCCCTTGTCCTACAGCAGGGAAAGTGCAAACAGTTCAGCTGCATTAGTGCCTGAACTTGCTCCCTGGACCTGTTTCATTCAGCTACCTCTAGGCAGTCTTTGTAACCCAGCCTGGGCTGCTGTTACATACACTGAAGGTCCCCAAGTCCATTCCAGGTGAGCCCTCCTGTCACTAGGATTTGCACAGGTATGCATGCCTTTGAACTCCAAAACAGGATTAGCAGCTGAAAAGGCAGACTCCTGCTTCCAGGCCAGTCAGGCACACGACCGAGATGTTAAGTAGTTTGAAAGACTTGGGTCTTGTGCCTGCATCCGTAGCTCCCTGACACTCCCCAGCAAACCCAGCTTCCTAAGTTAGTGCTGGACAGCTAAGTGCAACACCTACATCTTTCTGCACATTACCCCCCCGATTTTTTTTTTTTAAATATCCAATCCCTACTATATCAATGCAGCTTGAAAGCATCAGATATTAACACACAAAGACACTGTTACCCGATATGTTGCAACATCCTAACAAGCATGAAGAATGTACTTTCCGACCCCTTATTTTAACCTCCAGCATAATACAAGTAATAAAATACAAGTACATTTACAAAAATCACCTCTAAGCATAAAAAAAAGATTATAGGCAACAGTAAAAATTTTTAGGAAGTTAATGACAACTGAAACAGGACATATAATAAAAGCACCTTAAGTCAATGGATGACACCAGGTCACTAAAAAGACACTGTCAGATCACTTCTTAGGCACATTCCTGCACAGGCAGGGATATGCTGCCTCACGAGGATACCCATGCCCAAGTTTGTCTGAGGTTTCAAGCCACTGAAACACTCAAATCTGTATTTATAGCAAAGAAGTGGTCACACTAAATGTCTGAAAGTTCACCCAGTTATTTAACATTTCAGATACAGACTCTTAATGAACTCTCCTTCCATGAAAGTCAATTAGTCATTAAACCAGAGACACCTCAAAATGTCAGTAACATGCCACCCTACCTAACTAATCTCAGTGATGTGAAAAATTAACAGACCTTGTAACGAGCCGTCAAAATCCAGTTACTTTAGGCTTTTTGACTCCAAATTGGAAAAGCATCATACCCAAGAAATCTTTACAGTGAGTAATCAGCCACCTTCCTCTCATACCACATTGGCAGTGGTGCCTCTGCTGACCTGGAGCTTCTCACAGGGAGTGATGCAGTTTTCCAAGTTGTTTCAAGTCCATCAGAGCTTTGTTTTCAAAAACAGTATCTCAAATCTGTCCAGAAGCTCACAGGTATCAAGTGCAAGCCTAGAGTTCAGGTGTTGCGCTCTCAGATGCCCAGTTTACCCTGGAGACCTCCTGCAACAGTTTAAGATGCAGTCTGCGAGAGAATGCATTTCAGATATCAAACTCTAGAAGCAACAAAGGCAATGAAGAGGGGAAGGACCTTCATCTGCTCCAGGGACACTGGGACTGTGCAGGTAGGAGGTCCAGCCAGGTCTCCCACTCCAATCCGGGGCAACGGAAGAGTAGCAGCACCTTATGATCTGCAGTATCAACAACAGCTTAAGGCTGTACCTGAACCAACAAAGAAATCAGTGCAACGAATATGGTCACAATTAGAGACCACGAGCAATGAAGGCTTTAAGGCAATCAAACACATCAGGACTATGTCATCACATCATGTAAAGGTGGAAGCTATGAACAAAGACAACACTTAGCTGTATAAAGACACACTCTTCTCTTTAAAGAGAAGCAACAACAACTTCCAATAACAAAAAAATTATTTCTTTCCTGCCAGCCTTTGTCAGCTGGAGGAAATGAATCTAATGCATCCTGAGCCCATGCTCTCCTTTAAAAGAGCAACTAACAACTTGTCATCGAAGGGCCTGGAACAATGAAGCCACAATGCTCTGGAGAACTAGTAGGCTAGCTTGCAGCTCTGGAGGTTTCAAAGAGGTGTTTGGGATACAAGATACTAGTGACAGGGTAAGTAGGAAAGAAGAGATAATTTGCACAGTGACCGAGAGAGAACAGGACGACTTCTCCCACCTGCGCTCCTGGTAGCCATCATAGGTCGAGTCATTCAGATAAACGATGGGGAAGCCAGGAGCCGCTATTGTCCCTCCTTCAGGGATGCTATAGGATGCCAAACCATCTAAAAAAGAAGGCCATATACCTCAGAAATACAGCAGCAGCAGCCTTCCATCATCTCTGTCCATATGATCCTTTTATTTATGATGTGGACCAACAGAAGCAGTTCCGTGGGCCTGGGATTCCCTCTGCATACGTGGGGACGCAGGTGAGTCCCAGTCAGCATTGTGTAAGGACTACTTTCCAGTGACAGGCATGGAAATTGCTACTTACCATACCAGACACAGCCATAGAGCTCCACCCTCATACAGACAGTCATTGGCATCTCCGTCACAGGAATCACACGGATAAAACGTGCAATGATGGGAGGCCGAAGATCTTTCAAGACCACATCATAAGTATCAATGTTGCCTTGGATCACCTGTAGAAGAGAGGTCCTTATCAGTAACTTCTCCCTATTGTGCAGTTAATATGAGCAGTGGCGTACTTGTACCCTATCATTTGAGACTGGGGAGCTTTCCCATGCAGTATCTGCAGAGGATTAGCTGCTGCTGCTGCTCCCCTCCTCCTACCTGGTACATGGCTTACAGGGTGAAGGGGGCTGCCATTTCACCTCCTGTCCCCTGCAGACCCACAGCAGGCAGTACTCTGAGGGAGAGGAGAAAGGCAAGTGGGAGATGAATGTACGTGTGGACTATACATTGCAGAGAGCTCCAGTTACTAGTATGCAACCTCTCTTTAAGTGAGTCTCCATGCACACTCTAATAGCAGGTAACTGAGCACTTGCCCTCATCACTGGTTACCTGGTGGAGGGTCCCGATATCCTTTTTCTATGAGCCAACAAAATTCCAGAGGTGCTGCAGTGTTTGGGGGATGAAGGTGCAAGCAGCTGCACGGCAGATGTCTTGAACTGAAGTGTTCAGCATTGCCACAGTCACCCCATCCTGCT